TTTTCCGACCCCTTGAAAACATATGGGGGGGGGGGGGGCATATTGGTTGCACCATATGACTCCAAAATTATTATTATTTTTTTTTATATATTAATAAACAGTTAAGCTAAAATATTTCCCCCCCCTAAGAAATAGTAGTAGATTATTCCAAACCATTTAAGAATAATTTTTTAAGTATTTAATTCTTTTAATTAAGCTTTTTTCTTCATTATGATATTAGGGCAGTTGCATCACTCTGACATTTCAAACTTTATGCCCCCCAAAAATATCAAAATTCATTTTAATTCAGAAATTCAAACATGCTCATCATAGAAGAAAATGAGGTCATGAATACTGTGAAATCAGGGATTAGCTTTCTGGTTGAATAACTGAATGTTACCTGCGCTAAATAGGGCACCTGTGTAATTTTACATCCGCTTACAGGCTTTAGTGGGAGATATAAAAAAAGTGTTTTGCTAATTCCAGGACACAATGACGTAGGATGTATTTATATGAGGCTCGCTGTTTGGCTGTTATGCCATCTTGTGAATGAGTCCCAATTCTGGTAAATTACAGTGTTTGTGTTGCCTGAATTGGCACAGGGACAATTCTCAAACAGTGTTCATGGACACACATCCCTCATATGTCATTGGCTGACAAACCGATAGTATCACCTCAAACACAGAAATGTTTTGAATACAAGAAAAAAAATCAGTTTATTCAGTTTGTTTTTGGATATAAAAAAGGCATAGTCAGCTAGGGAACTACCACGTTCAAGGCCCAGAAAGGTAGTAAGGGCATCAATAAAATAGTTCATGTGACTTAAGTGGTTCAACCAAAGTTTTATGAAGCTATGAGAATACTTTTTGTGCACAAAGTAAACATAAATAATAACTTTATTCAACGATTTCTTCTCTTTCGTGTCAGAATTTGACATGCATTCACAGCAGTACCACGAAGCATGCGTGTGTATTCCTCTTTGCGCACAAAAAGCAGTCAGTTTGGTTCTGGAGAGGTGGGGTGATATTAACTCAATAGAGGGCAGGTTTTATTTTGAACTTTTGCTGCAAGTCTTGTTATCTTATATATTCAGTATATATTCAGAATATTCAGTATTAGTGACTGATTGCCAATTTTATGTGAGATATTCTAAAAGTTTGAATATATTTTGGCAGATGTTACAGAACATCAACCAAAAATATAATCAAATGTAATCAATATAATTAAATTTATATATGAATGAATAGAAATAATTATTTCTTGCTCTCTGACTAGATTAATTCATTAAACATGAATTAAGTTCTGAGCCACTGGCATGACCAAATGGATTTGCAAACATAATAGCACTTCTCAAACAGTGTTCATGGACACACATCCCTCATATGTCATTGGCTGACAAACTGATAGTATCACCTCAAACACAGAAATGTTTTGAATACAAGAAAAAAAATCTGTTTATTCAGTTTGTTTTTGGATATAAAAAAGGCATAGTCAGCTAGGGAACTACCACGTTCAAGGCCCAGAAAGGTAGTAAGGGCATCAATAAAATAGTTCATGTGACTTAAGTGGTTCAACCAAAGTTTTATGAAGCTATGAGAATACTTTTTGTGCACAAAGAAAACATAAATAATAACTTTATTCAACGATTTCTTCTCTTTCGTGTCAGAATTTGACATGCATTCACAGCAGTACCACGAAGCATCCGTGTGTATTCCTCTTTGCGCACAAAAAGTAGTTTCATAAAATTAAGGTTGAACCACTGGTGTCACATGGACTATTTTATCGATGTCCTTTCTACCTTTCTGGGTCTTGAACGTGGTAGTTGTGTTGCTGTCTGGGTCAGGAAGCTCTCGGATTTCATCAAAAATATCTTCATTTGTGTTCTAAAGATAAACAAAGGTCTTGCAGGTTTGGGACAACATGAATTGGTAATTAATGACAGAATTTTTGATCATTAATAGAATCATTTTTGGGTGAACTATCCCTTTAAACTGGATTAGGTGAAAGTATTTTATCATTCGCTTCAACTCTTTAATTTTTTTTTCTGTCAATATAATTTAATGTTAAATTAGGATTTATATTAATTTATTTAGCTCTCTAGTAAGTGTCAACAGTTTAGCTTGCAGGTATGAATGCATCATCTAACCTAATAAATATAGCAATGATTTACAGTAATAAGATATAAATTTTTTTGGCACATTATACAGTGTGATGAATAGAAAATGTTAAGTCTAATATTCCTAGTATCTGACAGTCCACAGTCCAGAAAAGTTTTTTTTTTCAGTGGACTGGTGTGAATGTACTGATGCCAGTGAGACGGTGAAATTAGAAGTGTGTGTGTGTGTGTGTGTGTGTGTTTGGTCCTTTTCGTTTGCCTTGACCAAACTCAAGGTGTGATACAAGACTGCTGAGATTGTTCTGGCAGCCAGTAAAGGAAACAGCAAGAAAGAGTTATAAAACGCCCACCCGGGATCCAAATTTATATCAAATAAAAAAGGAGAGTGAACTGTAAAGGCTCCTCTCTGGTGTGGAATCATTTATTTTGGAGACATGTCCATGCCCTGTTCTCTAGGGTCTGGTGTTGGTGTTATTTTTGCAGCCTTTCAAACCAAATGTACATGGTGTGCCGTTCAATTGTTTGGCTGCTTCCAAGTTGGCTGACTGTGATTGACTGGCAATAAACTATGCTTTACTTAACTGACAGATCATGGGCATTACATCAATGGAGAAATTCTGTCATTGGATTCATCATGAGACATATAATATATCTGCAAAGCAAAATATAAGAGTGGTAACTGCTTGATGGGGAGGTTGTGGCTTGTGTTGGGTTATCATTACACATTATGTAAAGCTATTTGGTGGTTTTGCAACGTTTCACGTTGTATGGTCAAGACCTCATCCAGTAGACGTCAGTGTATTGCAAGCAGCCAGAATGGGAGAGTGAGACACTGGGAGAGCCAGCTCTTGTCTCGCCCTTTGCTATTAGGGAGAACTGCAGTCCCCACCCTCAATGATTGAAAAGGAAGAAACGCTGCCATAACTTTGACCCATAGAAATGTTGTCGGTCTCACTGGCTAGCGTCATCCAACCCGTTATCGTGACTCTAACAGCATTGATCTTCCTTGTCAAGTTTAATGAGTTAAGCGAATGGAGAAGAGGGCTTTCAAAGAGCAGGCGGCGTGCGGGACCTGCTGTATCTCACAGTCAGATTGGTCGGGCTGATAGGTGAGGGTGAGGAAGAGCAGTGGCCCGGGATAAGGGCTCCCCTGGGAGGAGCTGACTGCACTCCAATCCATGAGGGCCAAGGAAGGTTTTCAGAAAAACACCAATATCCTAGCTAAGAATCTTGTTTTAAGAACAATTTGTATGAAATGTTATGAAAACATTCTTTCTTGTTTATTCAAACATTGTGGGTAATTGCTCACCAATGGATCCTCTGCAGTGAATGGGTGCCGTCAGATTGATAGTCCAAAAAGCTATTGCAATAATCCACAAGTAATCAAAATGACTCCAGTCCATTGATGAAAGTCTTGTAAAGCAAAAATCTGTGTGTGTTTGTAATACTCAAATCCATCAAGAAGATGTTTTAATTTTAAACCATCGCTTCTGACCAAAACATGAATCCATACTCCATAATAATGCTGCCTCAATTCACTTTTTGCTTCACAAGATGTTAACTGATGGACTTGAGACATGTTGATTGCTTTTGAATTATTGTGATGTTTTTATCAGCAGTTTTGACTCTCATTCTAGTGGCACCCATTCACTGTAAAGGATCCATTGGTTATCAAGTGATGTAATGCTAAATTTCTCCAAATATGTTCTGATGAAGAAACAAACTCATCTACATCTTGAAGGGCATTGAATGCGGAGTAAATTTTCAGCAAATTTAAATTTTTTGGGTGAAGTATTCCTTTAAATGTGACATATCATGAAAATCTGACTTTTCCAGGTTTTAAGTGCCATAATCAGGTCCCCGGTGCATCTACCAACCAAGGAAATGTGAAAAAGATTAACCCAGTAACTTTGTTTCGGTAAACCTTTTTCTGCAAGCATCTGAAAAAAACGAGCGCATCTGATTTCGCTCCTTTGGTGACGTGGCAAAGGGATCTCATCATAATATTACCACCCCTTAATCTGTAAGTTTCCACCCACGGCGCCGTCATTTTGATTTTGCAAGCGACAACGGTGTACCAGTTCTAATGCCATGGCGAACATTTGAGCAAAACATGCTAACTGTACCATCTTTGGCTGCATAGATGAACACAGAACACTATTTAGAGTCCCAGCCTCAGAGGAGACAACAGAGCAGTGGATTTATTGATTTATTTACTG